AGGTCATCGCTATTGGGTTGGAGGCCAGCACATGGAACAGTGCAGAAGAAACTCTATGGCGCACTTTACGATCGCCAACGACCCCAGGCACCCCAGGGACCCCAGCTGCCTCGGCCTGGCGCTGCAGATCAAAGCCTTGGGGCCACGTGGCATCTGGGAGCTCCAGAAGTTCCTGGACGAGCTCCTCCGATCGCACTTTTGTTCAAGGTCCGAAGTGAAAGTTTGTTACTAGTAGCTTCTTGCTCCTAGTAGTAAGGCCAGGAGCCCCTAGTAGCATCCTTGCTCCTAGTAGCGATGCCCTTTGCTCCTAGTAGCGATGCCCGTTGGAAACCTTAAAGAGTTCTGAAAGCAAGGCGGAAGAGCCTTCAATTCTTCCCTGTTCCCGCGGATCAAAGTTTGATGGCTCCTTGGACTCCATTTTGGCAGCCTCGTCAAACGCTCCGACCCTCACATCTAAAATCAGTTGGCATGCAGCTAATGCAGCTCCAGCCTCTTCCTCCGCCATCGCGTCGATAAAACCGGGATGGCTCGGCCAACAGAAACTTTTGTCTTTTCAGTGAGTAGTTGTGTCTTGCTGATTAAGAATTCCTGGGTGACGTGCACTATCTTAGTTGAGACAATTTTCTACCTTCCTGACCGGTGAGAGTCTCTAAAACATGGTATTATCTTTGAGCCTTGCGGCTTCGGGAAAGGATGGTGTAGGTACGAATCCCAGAAGCAAAGGCCATTGGCCAAAGCAATGAAGTTCACAAGTCGGACGGATTGGGATGGATGCACCTTTCTCACCTGTGGCAGCTTCAGCCATTCGGGCTGTTGCAGATCCTGGTCCGAGTGGCTGCTTCAAAGTTCTCTGAACTGCGAAAGAATGTGTCGTTGCAGAAGAGCGTGCGGCTCGTAGATCGAAATCGCACAGCGAGTGTCCAAGGCCAAGGGGCCCAAAACAAAAGGGGCCTGAAGTCTGTCGTTGTCTATTCGGAAGTGGAAGCCCTCTCTGTATATGGTGATGACCTCCGCCAAGGAAAACTCGGACGAATCACTGCGTGTCGCTATTCGGGCTGACTCGTTACTGCCTCAACTAATTCACACATTGCCAGTGAGAGCAGGGGGTACACATTGCAAATTTGGACCACCCTCCGCACCGGGAGGGGACCAGCAACGGAGAAGCAACGGGAATGCCTTGGCGATTGAGACAATTGGCGTGGTTTCTCTTTGGAGTGGAACAAGGGACCCGAAGGATTATGATTGGACAAATTTCAAGGCGGAGACTTCAACTTGCCTCTAAAATCTAACTACCCATTTGTTTGACCAGCAGTTGTTTCCAAGATTTGTCCGGACATTGTTGTGTTCAGAATGTCCCTCCACTTCTTGCCATTGGGGGCGAGACTCCTCTGCCTCATCTGCCTCCTGACATCAGAACTATTCAACACACCAAACCGTTCACCTGACAAAATGCCTGGGCACCCTCAATTAAGAGCAGATCTCCCGGCCTGAGACCATGACGCTTAGATTGTTGAAGAGTTTAATTTAAGCAGATTTGAAAGGCTTCGTTTCACTTTGGAGGTTTTGTTCCCAGTGTGGCCAAGGTAGCCAAGGAAACTGCGTAGGTCTGTCAGTGTATATACTGTACAGTGTAGGGTATGCACGCGTGCATGTTTCTCTGACAGCTTCGCCACACAACTCGACTTCACACGCCGACACCAAGCATGATTGACGCCACAACCCACACTGCTCACCAGCGTGCAAACGTGTTTTCCACCGAGGCCTCACTAAACGGCACGGCCCAGCGACATCACAAATGTAATTTCGCCACGCCCTTTGCCACACGTACTAGACAACAACATCACGAATGTAGCGCCGCCGCACCGTCTGCCGCATCTGCTACCCCCCGCAGGTCCAAAACAATAGAAACTCGAAGTTGCAAACGGCTGACAGAAGCTGCTGGCATCGCGTCAGCGCTTCCTAACCCTAGCGTGACAACGTGCCAGCGCGCGACCCATGCCAGCGACGACACAACAGCGTGACAACATGCCAGTGTGACAACACGCCAGCGGGCCAGCCTGACAACACGACGGCAAGACACCGCGCCAGCGGGACGGCCAGCGCGACGATATCTTAGCACGCATACATGCTCATGGAGGCACTGTACACAACACAACACGATACAGCATACTGACAACACCTCAACGCGTCAGCGAGACAGCGTGTCAGCACGTCAGCACAAACGGCGCGCGAGCACTGTGTCACTGGCAACATGCGAGAATGCAGCGCGGCGGCGCGTCAAATCACCAGCATTACGCCCTGCCAACGTCAGAACCTGCTCCAGAACACCAGAACTCCTGACGGCCCTTAGCAACGTGGACCAGCCTGGTCGCGCGCCCATTCAGCATAGTTCCAGTCATTGCCACGGGCAGTTGTCTTGCCGTTAGCAATAATAATGGCCGTCGTCCACCAGCTTTGGCGACTGTGGGCAATGCGCCAACCCTCTTCCAAAATTGGCCACCGGTACAAACCCACGCCGCCGATCTGGGCTACGTTCAGCAAGCCCTCGCCACATCCAAAAACTTCATCATCGCGGCGTGCAGGATCAGATTCTTTTTGCTGGCCGCAACTGGTTGGCAGCTGGCGCAGGAGTTGCCCTAAGCCTTTTGGCATCAACCCAACACCTAGCTTGCGGACGCCAGTTAGGGTTAGGGCAGGGCCCCAGCTCATGTCGCGTGCCAAGCTCAGCTTAAAACGCGCAAGCTCCATCCATCCGCGGTCAGGGATCTGTCCAAGTCGTTGGCCGCAACTTTGAGCAGCCACTCGCCCCTTGCGTTGGCTTGCTAGCAGACCGCTCCACCGGCTCCTTGAGAAGCTTGGACGCCTCTGGCGGTTGCTGGGCGGTTGCCACGGCCATTAACTACTTGTGGAATTTGTGGAATTTAACAACAACTTATGAACTAAAAGTTCGATCAGAAGCAATTACGAGATTTACGTAACTAACTCGCAGTTGAGAAGTTATGACGCGTTAGAAACGATTCAATTTTTTGCTTGCGGCGCTCGCCCACAGCAAGTCTTCTGCGGGCGGCGTGGGCTACTAAATCTAACAAACCAACTGTCCGAACTCAACTGACTGAGGCTGTTACCTCTTTGAGTGAATGATGGAACATTATAGGACCGGATAACCCCACATGTTACCAGTAACATCTTTACCACAGACAACCTCTGAAGAAGCAGAAGCGCGGTGAGAAAAGAGGGGTAGGAAGAGAGTGAGCGAGCGGGGCTGGCCCCTGGAGAGCGCCAAGCCCTGCGCCTGCCACGCGAATCACAACGGCACAGCGGCGGAGACCCGACGCCAGTGTGGGTGAGAGTGAGAGTGAGTGTGAGTGTGAGTGAGCGTGGAGTGTGAGTGAGTGTGAGTGAGAGTGAAGTTGGGTGTGAGTGAGAGTGAAGGTGAGGGTGAGAGTGAGAGTGAAGGTGAGGGTGAGAGTGAGAGTGAGTGTCAGTGAGAGGAGTGTGAATGTGAGTGCGAAATCTGCTTTTACAAAGCACTGTGCCTGCCGCGAAATCTGCACTCCGAGCTTCACAAAGTGCTGCGCCTGCCACGAAATGTGCACTTCTTTACATATTGCGCAAGATGCGCAGCACTCGCGCAACACATGTGCTAAGCAAATATAGAAATAGCAATGTAGAGGATAAGCAACAGGTTTTCAAATAGCCTTAAAATGGAAAAAGGGTCTCATGGTCTCAAGAAAGCTAAAGAAGTACAAAAATATAATGGGGAACACGGAGAACATGTAGATTAAAGCAAATCATATGCTGCATGTTTCTTGGGCATCAACCCCGATGGTTGCAGCATTGTAGCCCAGCGGCCATGGAGCTGCAACTGGCCATAACTGATAGGAGTTTTTGCGATTTCGTTGGACTTCTGGACTATAGACTCTTCTCTTTGCCTTGTTTCTTCAATCCTTTTTATGGAGAATGAAGACTTTTCAACCTTCACCTGTTGTCCATGCTATTCCAGAATCATTATATACATACTTAGGCGCAGCATGGCTTCATCCACCAGCACCACACGTGCGAATTGCTTCCACTTGCGCCTGGCCCGGATTTTCGGAGCCGTGCCTCAGCCACTAGACACGATTGCAAACGCTGAAAGCAAGGATGGCCTCCAACCTACTACCGATGGCCTCCAACCTAATAGCGATGGCCTCCAACCTGAGGAATGGCCTCAGCAATGGCCTCCAACCTAGAAGCGATGGCCTCCAACCTACTAGCGGTGGCCTCCAACCCAAGAGGAGTGGCCTCCAAACCTAATAGCGATGGCCTCCAACCTACTAGCGGTGGCCTCCAACCTACTGTGATGGCCTCCAACCTACTAGCGGTGGCCTCCAACCTAAGAGGAATGGCCTCCAACCTAATAGGGATAGCCTCCAGCCTACAAGCGATGGCCTCCAACCTAATAGCGATGGCCTCCAACCTGCTAGCGGTGGCCTCCAACCTACGACGAATGGCCTCCAACCTAATAGGGATGGCCTCCAACCTACTAGCGATGGCCTCCAACATACCAGCGATGGCCTCCAACCAATGGCCTCAGCAATGGCCTTCAACCTAGAAGCGATGTCCTCCAACCTACTAGCGGTGGCCTCCAACCTAAGAGTCTTAGCCTAAGAGGAATGGCCTCCACCGTGATAGCGATGGCCTCCGAACTAGCAGCGATGGCCTCCAACCTACTAGCGACGGCCTCCAACCTGTTCCAGGTTAGAGAAAAACAAGAACGTTGGTCCTGTCTGAGCTTTAGCTATTCAGCGCCCGGCACTTGCACAGTGATTCGCAAGAGCAACAGCTCGTATTCGTCGCCATTTTCTCACAAGATGTCGGGCGCGCATAGCAATCTTGAAAGGATTCGCAATAAATCATTCCGAGTCCTTCCAAATCGTCTAGGGTCTGGTTCCCCTTTCATCCATTTGCTGCACCCTGGCCTGCAGACTCAGTGTCCTGATACTCGATTCCTGCCAGCTGCAAGCAAACGATCTGGTTAAAAGATGCTATTATGGTCAATTTGCAGAAGACTCTGACCAGGTTAGGTGGTTGCTGTGTCTGAGGGCGTTGCCCCCATGGTAGCGAATCTCGCAACGGACCTGGCAGCACAGAAAAAGATAGAATAGGATAGAAAGAGCACGCTATGGTGCGGTGCACTACCAAGGCGACAAGCAAAACCCTCATGACTTAGGCAGCTGCAGCCAAACACCCCACAACTTCCAGGGCCCGGGTCAAGTTCGATCACACGAACACGCCTCTTCACCTCCTTCAATTTCCTTACCCGAGACATCCCGAGACCATTAGTATATGGGGTTCCAAATTCCAAGCAAGTCCGATGCGAACAAAAATCTGTCAGGACTGCTTGAGGCCCAGGTGCCCATGAACAATGCCGATGGCCCAGGCCCAGTGGAAATGAATCGAGGGAAAACAAAAGTCACTGAGACTCAGCAAGCTTTAGGCAAAGGTCCTATCTGAAATTCGCTCTCCAATAATCTATTCATTCCACTGAACATGATGTGGATTATCTACACTTGGAAATCAACAAAGAAGAAACGGCAACAGGACTCACTGTATTTAAACACCATAAAATGTTCACTGAATGTTTCAATGGTTGGCCAGCACGTCTGGACATCAGTCTCTTCTCATGTTCAGCCGCCTTGGAAGCCATGGCCACATTCACGAAATGAACACCTTCAATGCTTTTTCTATGCTTCCTATCTTTCCACCATGTGTTGCCCCGGAGTGTTGCCCCTAAGGGCCTATGTCACTTTACAAGACTCCATCATGCTTACGATGCTGTCTTTCGACTTGCTGCAAGCCTTGACAAACCCTGACCTATCAGAATCTACTGTTGGAGCGGCTACTGCATTTAGATGTTTTTCTTGTCTTCCAAGTGTTTCGTGCTGTCTTTAGCTCGTTCTGAACTTACAATTCCAACCATGCTCTTGAGTTGGGATTGCTTTTGTATACGCTGGATGTGGTCATTTCCACCTGAACTGGGCTGGGGCCTTGGAAATGGCTGGGGCCTTGGATGCCGCAGGCTTCTTAACTCGGAAAACCTTCGTTCACCCAAAACGACCAGACGCATCTCGAGAGTGTACGACCACCCCTTTCAGCAAACTCGGATCGGTGAGGATCATCATTGGTGTCGCCATGTAAAAGCTACTGTAGCGTCCTTGTTCCTAGTACGGCCAGGAGCCCCTAGTAGCGTCCTTGCTCCTAGCGATGCCCTTTGCTCCTAGTAGCTTCTTGTTACTCCAAAAAAAGGAGCGTTTCTTCACAAGGTCCGGTCCACTGCAGAAGAAAGAACAGCATTGCAGGTAGTTGATCGTTGGCAGTGCAAGATTTATGTGGCATTTTGTACGGGTTGAACTAAGAAAACGCCCAACATCCACTGGTCATGGCAGCAGTGACAGCTCCGGAAAGCATGTCCAATCATGCCATGAAGGAAAAAACGAAAACACTAAACCTCCTACCAGCGATGGCTTCCAACCTACTAGCGATGACCTCCAACCTAAGAGCGATGGCCTCTCTCTTTGAACATCTTTGAACCCTAGGTATTCTGGGGCCATCTGGGCCGCCTCAAATGGTCTAAATCTCACAGCCCAACCTGACATGCCCACCTGCCCAGCATTCTGGTCGCTACTGTCCAGGGTGAGACGTCAAAAGCGTCGGCTTTTGCCATGGAACCCACGCCCTTTCACGCTCACTTGAACTCACTTGGATCGCCTTAAAATAGGTCCTAGTCGGGCTTCGGCAACCTGAGTTTCCGCAAACAACACCTCGAGAGAAACCAAGTGGGCCCGGTGGAACATTAGATTCAGACCAGTGGCTTGCAACCAAGTGGGCCATTGCCACCGCACATTTTATTACTGGCCTTGAGCACAGCTTCATTGTAGAAATGGAATCTTCCCGCTTCAGTCATTCCAAACTTAGTGCTCACTGAGAATCCTGTCTACTGTAGCATGTCCCAGTGCTCACAGTACCACCACATCTGAACAAACTTGTAACTATTGCGCCGCAAGTGCCACCCAGTGACTTTGTTCAGGAAGCCACACGGGCATGCCTTGGAAATATGTGTTGGTCTTGGCCTTCACACCTTCACCTACTACAAACAAGCCAAACCTTGTTTTCTTCTCTTGTGGTTTCAAATGCACAACGTCCTTCCGGTGTTTCTTTCGTTCTTCCTTTTTCTTTTCTGTCGTGTTCTGATGTCTTTTCCTTTCTTGCCTATTGTTGTCTCTTCTTTTCTTTCTTCAAACCTTGGGACTTTGACTTTTCATGTTTTCTTTTCCTTTACTGTTGTTAAGTGTCCTTTTCTTTGGACCTTTCTTTCTTCCTTCCTTCCTTCCTTTATTTCTTTTTGTCCTTCATTCAAACACTTCGGAAACCACTACCTACTACCTCCTTGTAGAAAGTAGCATGATCAAAGCGTTCACGTCCCAGCGACCCACTGCGGCAGCTTCGCCCTCAGAGAATGATTGGCAGGTTGAGATGGGTTGATCGTGCTTATTGATTCTTAGGCCCGACTGGGTCCCTCGCTAGTAGGTTGGAGGCCATCGCTAGTAGGTTGGGGGCCATCGCTCTAGGCCATTGCTAGTATGTTGGAGGCCATCGCTAGTAGGTTGGAGGCCACCGCTAGTAGGTTGGAGGCCATCGCTAGTAGGTTGGAGGCCATTGCTA